CGACTTTCAACAAGTCAAGTGCCTTCAAGCATTTAGTTTTTAGTGACTTGATATGGGGTAGAAAAGTTAGATTGAGTCAAAAATTAAACCCAAGAACTTGGCCTCCTTTACAACTTTGATGGGAGTGCCATTGAGAAACAGTTCCGGGTCTTTATGCGGTTTATATTTTCTACAAAAATGTATACAATTAGTTTTGGATTTAGAAAATTTAAAACCGTTTTCAAGACACCATTTATGTATTTTATTTAAACACAGTTGCATTTGCCGTTCAATAGTATGCATATTCTTACCGCGACAAGAAATATTAAAATCATCCACAAAAAGTGATCCATCAATAGAATCGTTTAAAACCTTTGATAAACTGTTTATCTTGATACTAAACAATGTGACAGACAAAATACTGCCTTGTGGGACACCCTGATCCTGATTGTAATGATCAGACAAGGTTGAACCCACTCGGACTTGAAATTGCTTGTCTTTTAAAAACTGTGATATAAAAAGAGGCAAACGGCCTCTCAAACCAAAATCATGTAAATCCTTCAAAATGCCATGCTCCCAGGTCGTATCATAAGCTTTCTCAAGATCAAAGAAAATTCATACAGCATTTTGTTTATTTACAATACCATTTTAAACAAAGGTTTCTAAACGTACCAAATGATCAATGCTACTAGGATTTTTCTTGAAACCACATTGAATACTTGTTATAAGATTATTGGTTTCAAGATACCAAGTTAATCTATTATTCACCATACGTTCCATGGTTTTACAGAAACAGCTAGTTAGAGATATTGGTCTGTAATTCGACGGATCTGCATAATCCCTGCCAGGTTTTGGTATTGGGACGACAATGGCATTACGCCATGAAGGAGGAAATTCTCCAGACGTCCATATTTGGTCAAATATATCTAAAAGTGTCATCAGACATGGTTCAGGCAAGTGTTTCAGTAGCTGATAATGTATATTATCATCACCCGCTGCAGTGTCATGAGCTTGCTCAAGAGCAGTATGAAGCTCATGTAATGAAAACACTTCGTTATAATCTTCACCGTTATTTGATTCAAAATTAAGTTTTGTCTTTTCCTGTTGTTTCTGATATCTCTGAAACTCAGGGACATAATTTGTCGATGATCAATTTTTGGCAAGAGTTTCGCAAAGTTTATTTGCAATCTTAGATTTGTCAGTTATTAAATTATCACCCTCTTTAAGATGGTGAACAGCAGATTTGAACCTTTGCCTTTTATTCTCTGAATCATGTTCCATACCTTAGACATGGGCGCGCGGGAATTAATTTTGGAGACATAGTTCCTCCAAGATTGTCATTTGTTTTGTTTGCAGGTACGATGTACCTTCGCATTGAGTATTTTGAATTTATCAAATTATGGACAGTTGGATATTGGCGGAAATATAGACAACTCTAGAGAAGAAATAGGTTCCAGTTGCAGGATGTAGATAAGTGCTTGAATCATCATTGTATATACATAGGTCATTATTGGAGATGCAATCTTCCAGTATTTTACCTTTAGTATTAGTGTTGTTACTACCCCAGAGCGGGTTGTGACCATTTAGGTCACCCATAATAACACAGGGCTTCGGAAGTTGATCATAGATTAACTGTAGATCAGTCAGCTGAAGTGAGGATGAAAGTGGAATATATACAGAGCATAATGTAAATGCTACACCCAGAGTAAACCGCACTGCAACAGCTTGGAGATTAGTTTTAAGTGTCACAGGGCTGTGAATAACATCCTGTCGTATAAGGATAGAAGATCCTCCAGTGGCCCTATCACCCAGAGGAGAATAATGATGATAGGCTGTAAACTGGCGTAAAGTAAAATTTTCCATCTGTTTCAGATGCGTTTCTTGCAGACAGAATGCTGATGTTGTCCGGGACTAATAGCTGTAGTTCATTAAAATTAGTCCTCAGACCTCTACAATTCCACTGCACGATATTAGTACAATGACCTATCTTTTAGGTGGATTGATAGGGGACCTAGCTACCCCTCACTTTCTTCGAGGGCGACGAGCTATATGCCCTGGGATGAATACTTTCTGACACATCAATGTCCTCGAGTGAACCATATTTGTTATATAATTGTATACAGTTTTCTGAACCCTTAGAGGGTCTACCACTTCTTTTTTCACACTTTCCGTCCCAGGTATCACTGTATTGTTGACCACTTTCTTCGAAATTGTTTCAGATCGAGTCTTCTGACTGGACTGAGACAATAATTGTACTTCATCCTGAATCGACTTTGAAGTCTGACTAGACTGTTCAGGTGCAAGGAGCTGAGGGTATCGTTTGTAACTCAAGTCAAGTCTGTTTGACACCCTATTGAAATACTGGATACTGGCGAATTTACTTTTGACAAGCTTTTGGAGGGTGTCCCGACGACTGATGCATATGAATCATTTGGAACCGTTGATTCAACAAGCTTTTTAGCATCAGCGAAGCTAAAGTTTTGAGTAAATCTAACCTTGTTTATTTCCATTTTGTTCCGTTACAAAGTAACTGGTGTATTTTTTAGCGGAACACTCTTCTGTGCCGGAGTTTGTTTTATGTACCACGTAGAAGCGCAATCACGCGCCACCGGGGTTTTCACCCAACTCAGAGTTGTTAACTCTAACAAAGTGCAGGCTACCATAGTGTAAGTACTCAAGGCATTGTTCATAAATTCATGGTAAAGTTTAGTCACATGACATGTAATATCTGTGGATTTTGTCGCTTCTTTGGAACTAAGACTTCCCTGTCACCGCCAAATTCTATTTTTAGATCATATGTTAGGTCAACATTTATGCAACTCCTGAACGAAATATGTCTGCCTGTTGTTTCCTTGCAGCCATTTGCCGTGTACAGTTAACCTTCCCGGAATAAATGAAGGGTCGATGCCTTATGCTGAAGTTATTTTCATCGGGAGGGCTCGGGTTAAACTAAACCGCTAGATCCCCCACTCGGCCCAACTTCGGGGGTGAGACGGAACATGTTTGTTTTTTCCATATTGTGCAGTCTTTAGAAAAGAATGAATTATTACTTGAACAATTTGTGCATTTTAAAAATGTACTATTACAATCTTCAGTTACATGTGAAGTTTCGCTACAGTGAGCACAGGTTATAGGCTTTGTGCAAATGTTGACACCGTGACCATACTTTTTGCATCTGAAACGTCGCAAGGGATTTGGGATGTAAACCAACCTTGACAGACTTTGGAGGATTTGGTGAAGAGAAGGAAAAGAGGTACGTGTTTGTCGGAATTACGTCATTGCTTTTGCGGGTGGTGAATCGCTTGCCATGTCACTCCCTGATCTTTCATTTCGGATACAATGTCCATTTCGGCCAACAAACGATTTCTGTCACTTATAATGCCTTTGCTGGTGTTCAGTGTTCTGTGCGCAGTAACTGAAACATGGATTCCAGCAAATGTTTCTGAAGTCATCAGGTTGGTGGCTTGTTGTTTCCTAATGCATTCGATCAATAAACACCCCGAACGCAAGCGTTTTATGTTCTTCACTTCACCTGCGATGCCATATATACCCTTAGAAATCACAAAAGGATTCAGCTTTAGTGGTGTCTCGTCTACAGTGTCGAGAACCAGGAAACGTGGCCAGTGTTCTGTTGATTTGGATGGTCTCTGCTCATCATCATTATCGAGTGGACGTTTGGTTTTTTTGGTGGGGGTTTGGTAATCCATGGCAAGTTTAATTTAATTCATCATCCGGGCTCCCCGCCCACCACGAAGTATTACAAGGACAACGCTAATCACAAGTGGGTTGCACCAAGGATACCCGGATGATATACTCAAGCGGAATAATCAACAAGCAATTATTCCACCAGATTGGCCCATGAGCCACTGTCTTCTGGACATAGGGCTCTAGGCAAATTATTTTATCTCAGTTGTACAATCAAAATATAAATATATCATCATGAAGGCAAGACCACTGAAATTTTTTTTCAATAATTTCTTAAATTTTTGCAGCAAATTTTACATGTACAGGGCTTAGCATGACCAGCTGATTGATAGAACCGGGCCAGTTCTACCACCCGTCTAGGTGAAGTAAGGGGCAAAGTGGTGTGTATGGCAGAGGAACGCTGTTCCTGGAACCAGTGCCCTCAACCACCAGACTCCCGTCCTCTACCGACACAGGGGCGCAACCCAAGGCACACGGGTTGCCAATTCAGTCTAATGACCAGCAATGGGCTGCTGTGGACCACTGTGGCCCCGGGTCCACTCAGGGGGTTGAAGAGCGCTTAGCGTTACCCAGCACCCACCACGAGAAGGTGGCTCTTCATGGGTGCCCCGGTGAAAAGAAATAAAGTTATAAAAAGACGTTTTTGACATTTCATGAGATTTAAATTCATACTTCAAAGAAGAACGTGTGAATCGTTATCGTGAACGCCCACAAGTAAGATAAAATAGCGGTGCATATGATATGTGCGGACTATTGACAATTGGCGATGACACCGGGTATTCATCACAATGGCAAATACATTTAATGAGAATTACGTCTTCTTTGTAAGAGTGGCAGTCGTGTGAAGACAAATTCTTCGGGCGAGTGCTGAGTAACGAAGAAAGAAGTCACAACAACTTATTTCTATTTACACTATCAAAGCTCCTTTTTGAAATCCACAAAGACAACACAAAGTTTATCCTTTCGGAGACTTGATGGTCTGCTTTATAACAGTGGCGATGGGGTAAACTTGCGGTTTCTTTTAAACCAACGTCACAACACAACTGAGCTCAAATAAGTTTATTGCCTGTACTCCGAAAACAAGTCCCAAATACAAACAATTCAAAGTCAAATAGAGCTAAAAAAGTAATGGGTACACATGTGAAGGCACCCGTGAAGAGACACCTCCTCGTGGTGGGTGCTGGGTAACGCTAAGCGCTCTTCGACCCCCAGTTGTGGACCCGGGGGTATATTTGGTCAACCAACCCGTTTGCCGTGGGTTGCGCCCCTGTGTCGGTGGAGGACGGGTTTCTGGTGGTTGAGGGCACTGGGAGCCTTGAACCGTGTTCCTTTTGCCTAACACACCACTTCGCCCCTTACTTCACCTAGACGGGTGGTAGAACTGGCCCGGTTCTATCAATCGGCTGATCACGTCATGCCCTGCGCATGGAAACATTCCCAATTTAAATTTCTATACATTTCTATAATGTTTTTATTGAATGTTGTCATTTAAAATTATATTGTATTTGTTTATATTTGCCTAGAGTCCTATGCCAGAAGGCGGTGGCTCATGGGCCAATCTGGTGATTTTGACCTCCAAATTCAGTATGTGTCCAATTTCTTGTCATTGGGCAGAACCTCCCTGGCATTTACTTTGGTATACAAATATTGCTATTTGTGTCATACTCACTGGAGTATAACATTCCTGTATCCCTGGTGTCTGCATGCTGGAGATCCGATGCAATTAGACACCGTCCTTGTTGACACTCCGTGGTGGGTGGGGAGCAGGGTTGTCGAACCACCTTTTTTCATTATGTCTCAAATACACTTTGGTTCCAAAAGACGACATCTCGATGCAAGTGATGATGATCATGACATTACTGTAGATTCCTGGGCTCGATTCATTGTCATCGAGGCTTTAGATCACAGTCCAATTAAACTCAATCCTTTTGCGATTTCAAAGGCTGTCAATGGATATTGTGGAGAAGTGAAAAAATGTCACTCGCCTTCGTTCTGGCTCTTTGCTAGTGGAGTGTTTGCGAAAACAGCAGTCATTGAACCTTTTATCTATCAAACAATTTGCCAATGTTGAGGTTTCTGTTTCAGCACATAAAACATTAAACTCATGTAAAGGAATTGTACGAGATCGTGCTCGATGTCTATCTGACATGAATGAAAATGACATCTTCGCTGAAATGAAGACTCAAGGAGTGACTGATGTCAAACGTTTCACTAAAAAGCAAAATGACAATATTATCATGACTAACACTTATCTGTTCACGTTTTCCCTCCCAAAACTGCCAACAAATATTAAAGCCGGTTATTTTAATATCGGAGTTAAGGTTTACGTTCCCAACCCTCTCCGATGTTACAGGTGTCAAAAGTATGGTCACGGAGCTAAGAACTACAATCGTGAAACTGTATGCTCCCGTTGCAGTGGTACTCATGAGAGTTCCACTTGCACTACAGAAACTTTAAAATGTCCAAATTGCAACGGAAAACATCTGGCCTCCTCCAAATCGTGCCCGGCTTTCGAACATGAATCCAAAATTATCCAACTTAAGTGCAAAAACAACGTTTCGTATCATGAGGCTAAAAAGTTATTGATGTCAAAATCATCATCGTCGTCTTTGTCAGCTAAAACGTTTTCAGCCGTTGTATCATCTCAACAACCTACTCCAGCTCCGGTGAAAGTATCTGTAGCTCGTCAAACGACACTATCATGGGTTGACCAGCAAGTTACACTGGACACAGCTGCTCCAAATCCTCAAGTTGACACTAAAACTTCAACAACATCAGCATCTCAAACTGATGTTATGCCCTTACAGCCTTTACCAGCAATTACATCTGTGACTAAAACCAAAAGCAATTAAAAAAATTCAGGGCAAAGACCATTTATCCGGAAAATAAAATAAAAAATGGGAAGAAAAGCCAGGTCCCTCCAACACTTGGAGGAACCTTCTTCACTTCCAAATGCTGTTGAGGTTCATAATTCATTTGAACCTCTTGACAGGGAGGTCAGTCCTTCGCAGTTTGTGAAGGATAGTAGACCTCAATCCCGATCTCAAGTTGAGCCCCCATGAATGGCTCACATAATATCATTCAGTGGAATTGCAGAGGACTATGGATTAATTTTAATGATTTACAATTACTGATACAGGATTTTAAACCTTCGGCTTTCTGTTCACAGGAGACATACTTAACAACTACTGAGAAACTTGACTTAAGACAATACAATTCTTACAATTTCTTCTCACCTCCGGGTGTTAGAGCAACTGGAGGTTTATCGATTCTGGTGAAGCAAGGTGTTATTCATAGCCCTGTTTGTCTGAATACCCCCCTCCAAGCTGTTGCTGTCCGTATAACTTTGCACATTGTTTTTACTTTGTGTTCAATCTATGTTCTTCCATCTTCATCTCTTCAGCATGTTGATCTACAGGCGTTATATGATCAACTTCCCAAGCCATGTATCATCATGGGTGATTTGAATGGGCAGAACCTTCTTTGGGGAAGTACACATACCAGTAATAAGGGAAACGTACTGGAAGAATCTCTTTCCAACAATGACATATGTCTCTTTAATGATACTTCCAACACGTATTTACATCCTGGTACAGGTACTTATTCTTCCCGTGATCTGTCCATGACAGACCCTGATCTGCTGAATCAGTTGGAATGGTCAGTCCACAATGACCTGTGTGGCAGTGATCATTTTCCAACCCTTCTTAAAGCTATAACTCCGTCAGATGTTCCTCCAATATCAAGATGGAATTTCAAAAAGGCTAACTGGCCTTTCTACGAAAGTCTCTCTGCTACCAATCTCAAACCTGACATTTTCATGAAATACGTGATGCCATAAAATGTTTTTCAGATGAACTACATAAAATAGCTGACGAGTGTATCCCTAAGTCCTCTGCAATTCCTCATGTGCGAAAACCGTGGTTTAATAATGAATGCAAACAGGCTAGGAAGGCACGGAAGAAAGCTGAACATTTTTTCCGTCGCCATCCTATGGTCCACAATTTAGACAAATTTAAAATTTTAAACGCCAAAGCATGACGTACTTTCAAGCAAAATAAACGCCAATCTTGGCGCAACTATGTATCAAAAATTAATTCGCGCACACCGATATCAAAAGTGTGGAATATGATCCAGAAAATCAAAGGTAAGGGCTCTAAATCTAGCATTCACCATCTTAAAGATGGGAATCACTTATTGACCAATAAATCAGATATTGCTAATAAATTAGGTGAGACGTTGGCTAAACATTCTTCCTCATCTAATTATGTACCCGAATTCCAAAAATATCAAAAACAGCAAGAAAAGAAACCTATTAATTTTAATTCAGATAATGGGGAAGATTACAATGAAACATTTTCCATACATGAGCTTTATATTGCTCTTGACAAGGCTCATGATACTGCTTCAGGAGCTGATGGTATACATTATCAACTCCTGAAGCACTTACCTGAATCATGTTTAGAGACGCTTTTACATATTTTTTATGACATTTGGAACTTTTCCTTCGTCGTGGCGGGATGCTATTATTATTCCCATACCTAAACCTGGACGTGATCATACTGATCCCTCTAATTATAGACCAATTTCACTGACTAGCTGCGTTTGTAAAACCATGGAACGCATGATCAACAATCGACTTGTTTGGTACTTAGAAACCAATAACCTTATAACTAATATATACTGAACCGCAAAAGAAACGCAAGTTGATTTAGAAATGTCAATATTTCTGAATCTGTGGAACAAACAATCTTAACACTACGAAAAAACAACAGACAAGTGATTGTTGAAGAAATGAGTCGTGATCTCTGGTGAAAACAACACTTAAGTTTACTGTAAAAGCATATGTTATCACTCCACCCTCACACACCAAAAATGGCACGAAACAGTGTGTCAATCAGTAGCGCGTGTGACCACCATTGGCTGCAATGCAGGCAGCACAACGACGTCTCATCGAGTCAACAAAAGTCTGAAAGAAGGCTTGGGGAATTTGATTCCATTCCCTGACCAATCTGGCTTCCACATCTCTAAGGTTTTGAGGTTGAGCAGCTGTCTGTATCCGTCTACCAATTTCATCCCACACATGCTCGATTGGTGCCATATCCGGGGACAGAGAGGGCCAGGGCAGTACAGCAATGTTGTTCCCTCTGAGGAAGTCCATAGAGACCCGTGCAGTGTGAGGACGAGCATTGTCCTGCTGGAACGCCTGGAGCTGAGGTTGGGCCTGGAAGAGCGGTACAACGTGGTGTTGAAAGACCTGATCTCTGTAGACTACAGCAGTCACACGTTGACGAAACACGTGTAAACGTGTTCTGTGGTGGTAGCTGAAGCCACTCCATACCATGAGTCTTCCACCTCCCCAGCGTTCAGCTTCCACAACAAAACAGTTGGCGTAACGTTCATTACGTCGTCTCCATACACGTAATTGGCCATCGGCCCGGGACAAGTTGAATCTGGACTCATCAGAAAACAACAGTTGTTGCCATTGTTGACGTCGCCAACGCTGGTGTTGTCGCGCCCACTGTAAACGATTTTGGCGGTGACGTTGCGTCAGAATCGGTCCGACGTAAGGACGGCGACATCTGATCCATGCTGCCCGCAGACGATGACGAACAGTGTCTGCAGAGATGTGACGTTGTGGCCCTTGAATGGTTGTGTCGCTCGTTGCTGTCGGTTACGTAGATGAGTAACCCGGATGTGACGATCTTGTGCTGGCGTTGTTACCCTGGGACGTCCTGAACGTGGTCGGTCTGGAACATTACCGGTTTGACGATGCCTTGCAGATAGTCTTGTGATTGTTGTCACGTGACATCTGAAGTGCCTGGCCACTTTAGTTGGTGTGGATCCGGTCTGCAACATTCCAACGGCGATTTATCGTTTCTGTTCAGTTAGACGTGGGATGTTTTCTCCGCGTTGTCACAGTCAATTTTGTGTTCTATGGTGTTTTTTTGAATGACCTGCCTTATAAAGCTTCAAACTGGAGTGAAATACACGCATTTTTGTGTGAAACGGCAAAACCATCTTCGAATGCCTGGTTCTATAATGGTATACTTTGTTGTCCTAAAAGGAATGCATTTGGAACGTATGTTTTGAAAATAGTAACTTGCGTTTCTTTTGCGGTTCAGTATACAATGTGATTTCCGTAAAACCGTAGTACCATCGATCATTTAGTGCGCTTAGAATCTTTTGTGAAAAATGCCATAATTAATAAACAGCATGCAGTGTCGATCTTTTTCGATTTAGAAAAAGCATACGACACAACATGGAAACATGGATTTTAAAAGATTTACATGACTTTGGATTACGAGGCCGTTTGCCTCAATTTATATCCAACTTTTTAAATGACAGGCAGTTTCAAGTCCGAGTGGGTTCAACCCTGTCTGACCATTACAATCAGGATCAGGGAGTCCCGCAAGGCAGTATTTGTCTGTAACATTGTTTAGTATCAAGATTAACTGTTTATCAAAGGTTTTAAATGATTCAATTGATGGATCACTTTTTTGTGGATGATTTCTTGTCGCGGTAAGAATATGCATACTATTGAACGGCAACTGCAGCTGTGTTTAAATAAAATAAATAAATGGTGTCTTGAAAACGGCTTTAAATTTTCTAAATCCAAAACTAATTGTATACATTTGTGTAGAAAATATAAGCCTCATAAGACCCAGAACTATCTTTAAATGGCACTCCCATCAAAGTTGTTAAGGAGGCCAAATTCTTGGGCCTAATTTTTGTAGAAAATATAAACCGAATACAGACCCGGAACTGTTTCTCAATGGCACTCCCATCAAAGTTGTAAAGGAGGCCAAGTTCTTGGGTTTAATGTTTGATTCTCATTTAACGTTTTTGCCGCATATTAAATCCCTTAAAACTAAATGCATGAAGGCACTCGACTTGTTGAAAGTTGTCTTAAATTCTAAGTGGGGAGGGGAGGGGATCAAGCCACTCTCCTACATCTATATCGATATTTGGTCCGCTCTAAACTTGATTATGGCTCCATCGTATATGGTGGAGCCTGCAAAAGCAACTTAAAACTATTAGCTTCTGTCCATCACCAAGGTCTAAGACTTTGTCTTGGATCCTTTAGAACTTCTCCTGTTGACAGTCTCTATGTCGAGGCAGATGATCCATCTCTTACACATCGCCTTATAAAATTATCCTTGCAGTATATAACAAAAATTTATTCTAACGAGTCTAACCCTGCATTCAAATGTGTCTTTAATCCTCTTCATGAGGATTTGTACAACAAAAAGCCTTCTCTTGTTCCGCCTCTTGGTTTAAGAATTAAACCATTCATTTCTGCTGCTGGCATTGAGCTGGAAAATATAGCTCCTTCTCGTCTTCTTTCTTCTTCTCCTTGGCAGTTGGTTAGGCCACAAGTTGACCAAACATTAACAGCATTTAAAAAAACAGGAACTAATGAATTACAATATAAACAAGAATATAATCAATTAAAAAATAAATATAATACGTACAAATCCGTATTTACAGTTGGGTCCAAGGATGGTGGCGTGGTGGCATGTGCCACTGTCATTGGATCCTGAACAATATCTTCTCGACTACCAAATAACAGCTGTATTTTCACTGCAGAAGCTAACGCCATATTAACAGCTCTTAAATATATTAATAAACACCGTAAATTTACACAATACATAATATTTTCCGATTCTCTTTCGTGTCTTCAGGCTATTAAAAATCTCTCTTGTAAACATCCACTTTTATTAGAAATTATTGAATTGTATAATGAGCTTGCTACTGGCCAATGCGACATAGTCTTTTGTTGGTTGCCCAGCCACGTTGGCATTTCTGGGAACACAATGGCCGATCTTGCTGCTAAGGCAGCACTCAACAAATCTGTGACACCACTTCTTATTCCATACTCAGAGTACAAAACGGCTATTAGATCTTATATCCGCGATCTGATGCAAAAAAAGTGGTACACCCAAGTCGGTATCAATAAATAGCATGAAATAAAACCCTATATCGGTTACACTTACTTGGGTTGTCAGTCCAGATTTGAAGAGGTCATCATGCGACGATGTCGTATTGGCCATACAAGGTACTCTCACAAATATTTGTTAAAAGGTGAAGATCCTCCGTTTTGTATCCCTTGTGATGAGAGAGTCACAGTCAAGCATCTCCTGCTTGACTGTGTCGAATTCTCCATCATAAGGGATAAATATATTTCAATGTTAAAACTGTTAAGGATCTTTTGTAATTCTGTTCACCTTCATTTAATACTTGCCTTTTTAAAAGTAATTGATTTAATTAATGAATTTTGATTAATATGTTCTGTAGGTAGATGTGTTTTAATGATTGGTAGTGTAGATTATGAGGTTAGATTGTTAGTGGCTGTATCCTCAAAGGGGGTTGAAGTAGCGTAAAATTAGTATCCTCCTGAGAGGGTACGTAAGTCCAAAAAACGTTCAAAGTAAAATTTTCACGTCCTGTGTTTTAAACGTAGTATTCTTGTAATTTTAATATGTGGCTAAATGTTCCTACTTTTGGCCAACAGCTGAAGGGATGGTGTAAATCCAGCTAGGGTGCATTCAGGTAGCAAAAGTAATGTAAGTCCCCATGGTCCCTAATTTGGTGATCTACCTTCAGTTGTTGGTGATCTATAGCCCGTTTTTATATTGTATTGTCTTCGTAAATAAATTAGTTTTACATGTTCATGGTTTAGACTCCATCTGTGATACTCTAGTTATTTTACAGTCCTTCGATGACTGATTATTTGGCAACTGTAATTTATTGTTTATGTAAAACATTTCTCGTCACTATATGGCTGAAATATTGCTGAGGTGACGTTAAATTCTAACTCACTCACTCACTCACTCACACATGTGAAAATTAGTTGGTGAGCTATATTGTATAAAACTATAATAAAATACCTTGACACGAAGACGCATATCCAAATGTTGAATTCACCAACATACAATTGACGATTGTACGATACTTCGCTCAGTTGGTGTGACTTCAGTTAAAGCGTTTTCTCGACCCAGGTTCAAATCCCCACATGGGCTAAATGTGTGAATTCCTCCGTCGTGATATTGTTGGAATATTGCTTAAAGCGACATAAAACCACACTAACGCACTGGTTTGTCCATAGACCGTCGTCGCATGGCAGGGGCACTGCTGTGAGGCCTCGGTATGTAAATTTGTGCAAATATATACTCATTCCAATGATGGTAGTCACCCCTTTTCCCACCCCAACCCCACACACACCTCCCCCCACACCCCCCACAACGTCCCCCTCTCCAATTAAAAAAATTGAAGGGGGTGACAACCATTATTGGCATGAGTATACTTTGCGGCACACACATTAGCGACATCTTTTTATGCAAATTTCATTATTTGTTTCTATTACCAAACTTCTACAGTATCCAATGTCACTATTTCAGTTTGTAACCTGTTATGTTGTATACAGTATAGGTTCCTAGCGTTAAAATATAGTCAATATTGGTTTTGGCCCTTCTTGAATCTAATGAGTGCCGGGCGAGACATATTTACTATTTCAAATAATTGTAATCTGTTTTGTATACTTCAGCAAATATGTTTTACACATGCGTAGGCTGTAAATATGTACCACCGTCCGTCCGAATTAAGGATGAAAAAATGGAGATGCACGTGCATATTAACCAACTGGTATTGCGTGCGGCATCGACACTTCGGGGTTTTATGTCTACAGCATAAAATTGTTTTATCAACATTGAAGAAGTCGGTGAGTCAATAATGAAGCATACAACTTGATGGTTAACACACTAATCTTGATACCGGTGTAAGAATCTACATCGAAACGTCTTTCTATGCAATAAACAAGAAGTTGTAATCCATTACAGAATAAAAGATCTGAGTAAATGAAGCCTGGTTCACGAGTCTGTGAAAACAGAACAAAACTAATAAAATCATTTTCACAGACCACAATTAATTAAATAGTAATGCTACAGTATGTCACAAAGCCAGTGTATGTTTCTCTCACTGTATTTGTACTGACGCTCCTTGTTGTAATAGACTGCCTCCGTGGTGTAGTGGTTAGAGCGTCCTCTCGGAGAGCGGAAGGTTAAGCCTTGGCTAGTACAAGCAGCCACACATACATACCCATGCATGTCGTCATATGAGCAAAATACTCTTAAGTACGACGCTAAACCCAATTTCACCCCATCTCACCTATTTGTAATGCTTTTGTTTTTGTGTTGTAGCAGTTTGGATTGATTTGTAAACCTAGTTTATTTTATAATGCAATTGCTTATTGTATAACATTTCTTTGTCCTCATTGGTTTCACAGCGATTCTTTTGCCTACAGACTGACTGACTGAGTTTAGTTTTACGCCGCTTTTAGCAATATTTCAGCAATATCACAAAGGGGACTCTAGAAATGGGCTTCACACATTGTGCCCATGTGGGGAATCGAACGCTTTAACCACTAGGCTACCCCACCGCCCCTTTGCCTACAGAATTGAAGACAACTTACATATAATGTAGGAAACTGACAAGTAACATATGTATCAGAACTAGTGTTGCAGAACAAAACTGATTTATTGCTCATTTTGTTTTGATGCACATTTGAATCCTCCCCACCTCATCATTCAGTGCCAGAACTTGATACACTTCGCATTCTCAGACGTTTTGAGGCACCAGACCGAAGACGATATTCTGATATTGATCTTGTGAACCGTGCTCTCGCATACGCTGTGTATGAAAAGGAAAATAGAAGCATGATGTAATTTGTTAGACAACTGGAACGGTCCCTTTCCTGATTACTTATCATGTTTCAACGGAAACAACATTCCACTATAATAATCACATTATATGAAGTAATTTCCAATGGAATATGACACCATGTACGTACAATATCACAGGTTAAATAAGTATACAAAATATTCAATATGCATGTCAAATACTTTAAATTGACATATTCACAAATTATTTTAACGATCAATTCAGTGTTGATATACATTGGACTAATTACTGATATTAAGAGTGATTAAAAGAGGTTTACAAAGTGTTCTATGACACTGTCATTTGATTCTGAATGTACAGGATTTTGATTTAGTAGGAATTTGACATACAAAGAAAGCATGCTATTGTGACTATCTTAGAAGTACAGTGGACTCTCTCTAAACCGACATCTCTCTAATCCGACATTCCCTGTAAACTGACATATATATATTTGGTCCCTATATAATATAATATAAGAAACTCCCTCTAATCCGACATCCCTCTATCCCGAATTCCGACACTCAAATCCGGTTCCAAAACATGTTTAAGTGCAAATTGACTCTCTCTATTGCTTTGTACCTGAAGTCACTATGGCAAGACAATACAAAACATGAGCTTGACAACTGTAGACGCGAGGTTAGTATCACTGTCTTTCATTGCTGTCCGCAATATTGTGTTTGTACTGCCTCTGAACTTGTACAACTACTCTATTTTGAGCAGCTATTGTAGTGAGACGTCGAACGCTGTAAACTATGTTTATGTAATTGCTGATTGTACAACAATTCTTTCTTTGTCGGTTTTACATCGAATTTCCTGTACACCAAGACTCTGGGTTAACGTATTGGTTTAACTTGGGAATAGACACGTAACACAATCAACATTTGTCTTCGACTTACTGGTTGGGGCCAGCTTGATTTGTTGTCGTTCTGCAACAACACATTCTGCAGTCAACAGAGTGGCTGAAAAAGAATACAGTAAGACTAGGGTGAAATTCAACTCTGATATCCTATCAAAGCATACGTGTAACACTGTAGCCAGTACGATCACACCCAAAACACACAATAGTATCTGTCCGAGTGTTAGCAGGAAGTCCAGGTTTGTTATCATTGATACAGATCCTTGGGCTTTACATTCAGATAATTGAATCGCATTGTATAACACTTGCATATGGATCTTCGGATGTACATGGTTCTTTAAATGAATTAAAATTAAGCAACTAAAGATAAAATTCGTCTATGTCTTCTCACATTGAGCTTGTGAATTTAGTTATATTAAGCCACGAATAGAGGATGAAGTTCAAATGAAGCTGCAGTCTTTTACACGTGTGACCAAGACGAAACATGTAAAGTGTGTAGGACAAGATATGGTACGTGGTATTGCTCTGCCTGGTGCTCGGCACTTAGGTGATGTACTAGAGACTGGATGCCTTGGAGTCGGTATAATGTGTCTGATTAGGATATCCTTTTTGCGCTGCGGCATGGTATGTCACTATGTTAGTGTGAAGAGATAATGTCGGTCTGTAGGGCATTTGCAGCGGTATCATGATTAATGGTGGGTAGTCTGTGTAGATTTGACTTTGGACTGAATGTTAAATTAAGTGTCTAAATCTCTCAGAACCATTTTACCTTTATCTACCATGACTATGTTAGTGTGGAACAGAAAATGCTTACCTGAAGGGAGTTTGCAGCGGTATCATGAGTAATGGTGGTCTCTGCGAACTGTAGATTTGACTTTGAACCGAATGTTAAATTAGGTATCTCGATATTTCAGAACCCTGTAACCATTTCCTATCATGACATATCGGATCATAAACACATCAAAGCAAATGTACATTGTACCAGTTCTTATAGTCTCGGCATTATACTGTGTTAGTGTAAACACAAGTGTTACTATACATACCAAGAACCATCAGGAGAAACAGCTTCATGTTCGTTGATGAGATGTCCCAACAAAATCTACAGCAAGGATGGAAGTGATGCTCTTGGTCTCAACCATGACTTTAAATATGTTTTCCCGCCACAGTGAAAGTGTTTATTGGTTGCAGCTGGTATTCAGGTAGATCCTAAAAAAATGCACGTGATTATTTTACTGCTTACCTTGATTAAATACTGATTCATGTTTCATCATAAAAAAATATCTATATTGTGATATTGTTGGGTAGCCGAATATGGATAGCATTGATTCATAGGTCATGTGGGCTCTGCTTCTGGTTCGCTCTGAAAAGTCAGCGATAATGCTAACTTGCTCCTTGTTATCTCAATATCCAGTATGGATAATTCGGGTGATTTTTAAACCTATTGTTGAATTGGCCTGGTCACGATAACCTCGGAACTAGTTACACTGTTTAATCCTAATGAATAACAAGATCATTCAAATATGTTTGAGGAGACCGAATAACACAGACACACATACATTACATGCGCGCACACACACACACGCACATACAATACACATACTCATATGAGAGAAGTCCTTTTGGAATCATTAATGAAGGTCTACATATATTTCAAACTGAATTTTATTTACAGAAAACCAACAGTGTCTTTTGTTAACTATCAGAGACCCTATCTCCTTTATCCTTTGAGTACACAATGCATGGTTTTCCGGTTGGGGAAATCATAGACTGAAAGTTCATGAACCAATGATTATCGAGATGTAATTTACGAATGACCTTACAATTAAATGTGACGAAGGTGTCATCGTGCTTTTGTCGTATTCATCTCATGTATTTGTGGGTCATTTTTTATGGAGTATTAACATGTTAACAATTACTGATGCTTTTATGCTGATATCTGAGACAAACTGAGGGGTAAGTTTATTAGCTTGTCTAATATTTAGAAGCTTCAATTACCATGTCGTACAAGCAGCAACACCATAAAATGCATTCATAATCAGTCCTTTGCATGATTACTGGGGTAAAGTTGTGAATTTAAACTCTAAAGTATATACTTGAATAGCTGACCTCCCAAGCTACTCTGCACAATACATTGTTTTGTGGCAAATTTTTCAACCAGGAAGAGTGTTCATAGTGTAATCTACTCTTTTCGTTGACAGTCGGGAGGGGGGTAATGCTATGCCATATCTTGACTTGTGCTACGTTTAGATGGAGAGTTCTTGGAGGTACCACGTAAAACCAAAAGCGCACGACCATGGCCATCCCAACATGGTCCATGGTCTTACCAAGAATATATGGATGGAGCGATCCCGAACTGTTAGCCAATATATAGGGGGCGTGCCTCTGCCCTGTTCATATCACATTACATCACGAAATGCGAGATTCTTTTACGGACTGAAAATCAGAGGAATCTGAGCAAAATTTGGGAATCAACGTGAGGCAATATCTAAAGGATACTGACTCATCATGAGGGCTGAAGTCAAGCCTATTTCGACAAGCAACAATGAAACACTTGGCATTAACTGTTTCAACAAGCCTGTATTATTCAGTGAGGAAATACCATCTTCAACAAAAGTAATTTACATGAAATAAAGTGATAAAAATAAGTGACAAAACCCCTTTCACATCAAGAAGAAAGCGATTGTACAATTCCGACTATATCGTGTGCACGTGTTTCATTAGCGTCCACTGATACAGCCAACTAATCTAGCAGTTTAAGATGCCTTAAGTCGTCTGAATCAAAGCAAAATAATTTAAAATATCTATTTAAAAAATCCATCCATAAACTGGAAGGCAAAGGATCACTTCAGATTTTGCTGAGGAATATGTAGTCAGCTCCAGCCCTTGCCATCTACATTATAATGAGGTTTTATCAAACGGAGCCTTATGATATGATTATCGAAGAAGGCGTCATGTGGCGAATGTTCAAAACTTTTTCAAATCAGTGTTATTGCACTTAAAGGAACTTTTGCCTTACGTTTGCAAGTTGTGACGTTAAATATTAACTCACTCACTCATTCACTTACATTTGCAAGAGTCAGTACCTGGTAGCACAGGCTCATTTTTCTTAAAACACTTAACATCACCGATATTTCATGATGTCCTATAAACGCATGCTTGTCAGCTTCAGAATCGTTGAATGCACCCTGCTAATAGCAGATGTTTTAAGGTTATTGAAATGCTTTCTTTGTGACAGAGGGGCCGGTGGGGGAGCCTAGTGGTTAAAGCGTCGGCTCGTCACGCCGAAAACCCGGGTTCGATTCCCCATATCTGGTGTCACTGCCGTGATGTTGCTGGAATATTGCTAAAAGCGGCGTAAAACTAAAGTCAGTCAGTCTTTGTGAGAGACAGCCTCAGCTGTTTCAGTGATTCAGAGTGACAAAAAACCCCCTCCACTAGGCTGTATGACAAAAGGGATGATTTTAACTTTCCAATAGTCAACCTCCCTTTCATGTCTAGTGAGTGAGTGAGTGAGGTAATATTCCAACACGTTTTCGGCTTATCGTTTGCAAGTTGTCGATGTGACGATATGTAAATATTAACTCACTCACTCACTCAACCAACTAGAATATTTTAGGTACTATCGAGTCTGCTCTTTTTATGAAGTTGTTTGATCTAGGATACAACATTCAAGGCCTCAGGAAAGCTTTCAAGAATATTTATGGTAGACATGTGGAAATGTACACCTGGCACCTTTAAATTGTCTAGCGAACACTTGGAATCATCACTATTTCACAGTGATTCATAAACACACTGCTCTGTCATCGTATCGCATGGTGACAATCAATGGATTGTCTGGTTCAGACCTCACATTTGTTTACAAACAATATCATGCATCTGCAATAGTGCATGAAACAAATATCTGCTCATGATATAGTCAGAACTGTACAATTGAATCTGCTTTCTTATTAATGTGGAAAGAGTTTTGTCCCTACTATTTACATCATCTATTGACTCAACGTTTCATATTCAGTGACCCTTAATTCCGAAAGCAATTACCGGATTACAAAGTGTATTTGTATTCACCCAAGTGGTGATGTTTGGTGACACTTTTAACATCCGTGAGAGATTTGTAATGAGGTCTTAATTACCCTAACAATTAATTGTCACTAGCTGTGTATTTCTGTTGATGTGTCTCTTGCAACTTTGTGCAGCGGTTGTTCTGCTCGAGTGATTGGATAAATTATCGTAATTAGTTCATCAGGTAGAGGTGTGTTTTTTCCCTCTTGATTACATATCTCATGTGTTGAGTTGACAACATTCCCTTGACTTTACATTTTCTAGTTAGTTTTCACTAGTGTCCTGGTATGGGTAGTTGACACAATGACAGACTTCTATAAAGGAAAATTGGGGGCTCGTCCGGGTCCATTTTTGTTGTTCTTTAAGATTAGGTCTTGTTGTTCTCTTATTGTGCTGGGATGTTATTACTGTTATCAAGTTATGGTCTTCGGGTTGTTGACTATGGCTGCTTCAGGTAAACCGTCATCAGTGTCACAAAGTAAAGGTTTACAGAATTGGCTGACAAACATGAGACTTTCCTAAGACGTGGGATTAAGTGTCAAGGAAATAAAGAATATTTTAATGGATGTTTTGTAGTTGAATGATGATGAGGAATCTGTAGTTGAAGACAATCCAGTTTAGAAAGGCAGAGGTCGAGAAACTTCATGGTTTACCTTTTCAGTTGTATATTCAAGGAATTTAGAGTTGGTATTTCAGGAGAATAGTCTAGAATTAGAATATTAATCTACGAGGTTAGAAGATAAGAGACAGACCATAAGTTATAAGAAGCCGGAGCTGAAATACGCTAATAGTCGTCAGATAAAAGGTCAAGATCGATGGGTGTTATCGTTCTTTTTTCCTATTGTTGATGATGTCAGATGTAGAAGGATTCTTCAAAGAATAGTCTAGAATTAGAATAGTAAATTTTAGAAGATAAGACACTTAAATTGAAAAATAGTCGTCATAAGGTCAAGATAGATGGGTGTTATCACTGCATTAGCTTAAGGACCTTCAACCAATTTGCATTGCATTGTACTCTCATTGAATTTGTAAATCCTTTGAAGCAATTTGGACTTTTTAGTGCAATTAATCAATTGTTAACTGAATAACATTTCTTTGTTTTAGTTGGTTTGACAAAGATACCTTTGCCTGCAGATTTTAAGACAACAGAGGCAACTGACAAGTAACATATGTAACGGAACTAGTGTAGCAGATCAAGAAATCATTATTTTCTGTTTGCCATAATTACATACTGATTCAGGTTTCATCACAAATATATTAATATTGGAGTTATCGTTTGATAGCTCAGTAGAAAAAACCCATTGATTCGCTATTGCGAGTTGGTTCCGTTTCAAGCACATATCTTGTTCGCAGTTTTAAGTCGGAGATATTGCTAAACTTGGTCCTCATTAACTCCATATAAATTATTCTTTTTCACGCCTATTTCAAATGCGAACATCTATAATTGCAAACTGTACAAGCTAATAAAAGCGGAATAAATATATTCGAAATTTCTGCTGAAATACACAAGACATTTTTGTAATGCATATGCCAAGAAGTTATCCTTTGGGGAATGCTAAGTGAACGTCTCTACCCACGTCTAATTCTTGCTTTTTCAATCAAAATCTAAGATCGAAGAGCCTTCATCCTTAGACATGTACATATGGCATGTATCTTCAGATGAAGGTATAGGTATTTCAATGTAAAAACTGTTAAGGATCTTTTTAGTACTGTAAATTTTCATTTAATTTTGGTGTTTTAAAAGAAATTGATTTAATTGATAAATTTTGATTGATATATGTTGTAGATAGATGTATTTAAATGACTGGTAGTTTAGATTAGCAACTTAGATTGTTAGTGGCGGTATCCTCGAGTGGGGTTAATTATTGTAAAATTATTGTCCTCCTGAAAGGATACGTAAGTCCCGCAACATTCAAAGGAAATTAAAATTGACCAGCTGTTGTAAATGTAGTATTTTTGTCATTTCAACTTCGGCTAAATTTGTCTACAATCGCCAGCTGCTGAAGAGTTTATATGAATCCAGCTAGGGTCCATGCAGGTAGCCAAAGGACTGTAAGTTCCC